ATCACACACACACACACACACACACACACACACACACACACACACACACACACACACACACACCACAGCAATGCATCTCAATGATGCCTCTATTGTTTTATATACATCACATAGCATATAGCACATAGCATCACAGAGCCAGATCAGAGGTGAAGTGTAATAACCACAATAACCTCTCATGAAGCAATCAAGACAAAAAAAAATACCCAAGTGCATATCAACTAGCCATGAGTCCAAGCAATCAACTAGTCGAGCTTTCGTTGACTAGTATACTTCCATCTATATTTCCATCTAAAACAAACTTGTATATCAGCATTACGAATTAATTTATTGGGTGACAAATTGGACAAGGTCATTCTAGGTAGAGGTCTGTGCAGGACTATTTTTTTAGTCCCGCTCCCGCAAGGTTATATTCCACACCCACCAGCTCCCACTATATATTCACTCTTTGTTCACCCGCTGTCCGCTTAGAATAATTTTCTTCCCGACCTGTTCCCACTAAATTTAGATCTTGTTTCCAAAATCTCACATTTAAATTTCTGCTACTGAAAGAAAGAGAGATAGGCTAACAAATAAAAGTGTAGTCTGCACAAAATTGTGTTATTTTATTCGTCTTGTCAAGAGTATTGAATTTATTGACTGACTTTAATTTATATAAATTATCTTAAGACACTAAATTTGGTTAATATTTTATGCAACACAGTAGGGAAAAAAAGTGTCAGAGAAAATAAAAATGTATAAAAATTAAATTTCTTGTTTTTATTCATCTTGTCAGTATACAGTTCGTTAACATTTACAACACAATAAGAAAATTTGTCGCAGAGAGAAAAAAAATAAAAAATATAGGTTGTACAAAAATAGACTATTAGCTATTTTTATTCGTCTTGTCAAAATACTAAATTTGCTTGAAATTTTTCTGTTAACACTGTAGGAAAAGTGTTGCAGAGAAAAATAAATAAATACGATATCTGTCATTCAAAATTATAGGCTAAGCAAAATATAAACAAAACCGAATTGAACGTCCTTCAAGGACAGCGCATCCACACTTTGCTCCATCCTTATTCTGCTCTGTCACTCATCGACAACCTGCCTGTTCTGTCTGAGGGCCGTATATTTACCACCGGTACAGCCTGCTCTGAGCATCATTATGCACATACAGACCCCACAAATAAAATGCGTGACGCAGAAAGCATATGCATGCAGCGCGTGCATAACAGTGCGAGTGCAGGCTGTACCGGTGGTCAATAAGAATAAAGCGCAGATATGCTGTTCTGAATGGACGTCGGGAACGGGATATTGTTAGACCGCCCGCTCCCCTTCAAATTACACCAGAGTTACCAACCGGCGACCGCTACCACGTTTTATTCGGGAATTTAATCCCGCGGCGCAAAAAATCTGGTCGGGTCCCACAGTTTCCGAATGCAGACCTCTGATTCTAGGCATAGGTTAAGTAAATGAACCGAGTTGAACGTCCTTCAAGGACAGTGCATCCACACTTTGCTCCATCCTTATTCTGCTCTGTCACTCATCGACAACCTGCCTGTTCTGTCTGAGGGCCGTATATTTACCACCGGTACAGCCTGCTCTGAGCATCATTATGCACATACAGACCCCACAAATAAAATGCGTGACGCAGAAAGCATATGCATGCAGCGCGTGCATAACAGTGCGAGTGCAGGCTGTACCGGTGGTCAATAAGAATAAAGCGCAGATATGCTGTTCTGAATGGACGTCGGGAACGGGATATTGTTAGACCGCCCGCTCCCGTTCAAATTACACCAGAGTTACCGACCGCTACCACGTTTTATTCGGGAATTTAATCCCGCGGCGCAAAAAATCTGGTCGGGTCCCACAGTTTCCGAATGCAGACCTCTGATTCTAGGCATAGGTTAAGTAAATGGTCGCCTAGGGTGCCACCAGCTGGGTGGAGCACCAATGAACATCCCAACTCCCATATTTTAGCAAGATTTCACCACATTTAAGCAGCTGAAAATGAGTATTACAAGATTCTACTAAAAAGCAGCTGTAGTGAGACAACAATGTAATTATACAGCACCAGTCAGTTCAGTGTTGGTTTAGTTCAGTTAAATAACTGTGTAAAATCCATAACAGGATACTGTTGTAATATTGAGAAAAAGTACACTGAAACAAATCCAATTTATGACCAGTGTGCAGATTTGGAAACTGTGTACTTAAAAACTGCAAAACATTCATTACCAAATCTAAGATATTCGAAACCACACGTTACTGGTGTTTCTATGACAACCAATGTGGACTTGCAACTATAGAAAAAAATACATTAATCTAGATAAAATGTAAAGAAACAACTTGCATATATACATGTACACTACCATGTCAAAATTTTGGAATAAGATTTTGTTTTTGAAGGAAGTCTCTTCACTCACCAAGGCTGCGTTTTTTTTTTTTTTTTATACAAAGACTTCAACTACTTCAGTCTGTGTGCATTGAATTTATTTAATACACGAGTTTCACAATTTGAGTTGAATTACTGAAATAAATGAACTTTTCCACGACATTCTAATTTATCGAGATGCACCTGTATACAGTAACACAGTAATTGTATTAATACTATTTAAAATAACTGCTTTCTATTAAAATACTGAATATTTTAAAATGTACTATATTCTGTGATGGCAAGGGTGAATTTGTCATTACTCCAGTCTTTAGTGTCACATAATTCTTTAGAAATCATTTTACTATGCTGATTATGCTGAGAGGTGTTGACTCTGGGAGTTGTGTTGTTCTAATTTTGTTAGATCTTACTGCAGCATTTGATACAGTTGATCACGATATACTTATTGCTCGTCTCAAGAATCATGTTGGTGTTCAGTGCTTAGCCCTAAAACGGTTCTCTTCTTATCTGAAGGATAGGACTTTTTCAGTCAGTTTAGGTGATTACTCTTCTTCT